AGGGAGAGAGAGAGAGAGAGAAACATTGACGTGAAAGGAACACATCAAGTGGCTGCCAACCGCAGGACCAACCAAGGCCGGGGACAAACTGCAACCAAGGTACGTGCCCTTAGTGGGAACCAAACCCGGGTCTCTCTGGACCGCAGGCCGACACTCTACCGCTGAGCCAAACTGGTCAGGGCTTGTCATTGTTTTTTGTTGGTCATTTAGGGATGAATTTTCAGGTGTCTTTACTCCATCACTTTCACTGATTTGCCTACAACATGGTTTTAAATCTCTAAAGACTCAGTGACTACAAGCTAGTTAAATATTTAATCATGGGAGATAATTAGGAAACTGGAATAAAAACAAAAAATATAGTTCTTATAGAGGCTGTCCTAGATGGTAAATGACATTTGAAAAGATATTTCTGTATTTAGTGGTCTCAAGATTAAGGTTCAAGTAAGTTATTTTAAACTGCTTTTCTTCATAGAAGTTAAACACAGGCTTTGGAGTCAGAATTGAGTTTAGATTTTAGGTCTGATTCTTACTAGCTTCACAGCCTAGGACAAGTTCTATAACCTCTCTGTGCCTCAGTTTCCTCATTTGTAGAAAGGGCTAATAATAATATCTATCAATAAGGTTATTGTGAGGATTAAATGTGAAATGTTCATCACAGATGCCCAGCAGCCTAATAGATATTAGCCATGATAATCATCTAATTTATAATATTCTGCAAAAGTACAACTAATGATTCTTGAGTAGAGTTAACCTAAAGACAGATGTTCTTTTCTTTCTTCTTGTTTTTTGTTTGTTTGTTTAGTTTTGCTTGTTTGTTGAAAGGAAAATTTATTTCAGCATTTGTAATAAAAATGTATGTCAAAAAAACAAATTTCATTTTATTGATATATAATCAAAATGTTATTTATTTATTAAACAAACATCTATTAAATGCCTAGTAAATGTCAGGCACTAACAGTCCAAGAAATTGACAAGTAAACATGTGATTGCATACAATGTAACAAACCCTGTGATACAAGCATACACACGGGAGTATTTGATGGGAATATGGCTTTCACCAGTTCCTCTTAGATTTATCCCTTCGTTGGCTCCAAAACCAAGGAATCAGTCCTATTTTTTTCTTTAACTGGGTGGTTTAAACTGTGGAATTTTTTTAAGTTATGGAGATGAAAGAAAAGCACCTTGAATTATGGAAGACACTGGAAATAGTATTTCCTATAGAGCAAGAGCTTCCTATCAGCCTAGTCACTAATAGGGTTTTCAATCTAGAAAGTTATATGGCATACTTTTTGCTTTTTTTTTTACATTCTCTTCTCCACTTTTTCATTTAGACACCTGGGTAATTCCCCCCAAAAAAGAATGCATTACAGATTTTAAGGGTGATTATAGGTAAAGACAGAAAGTGATTTTTTTTAACTTTCAAGTTTTGCACCAACGAAATGAATATAAACTTTCATGGCATTTATTGAAAATGCAGATAATTTTAATTCCATTGCATTTTTCAGAATTCTCAATGGTAATCCTTTGACAACTGTTCAAGATCCCTATCTTTTTAATTTGCCAGCTTTGAAGTATTTGTAAGTATTGCAGCCATCTCATGGCTCATGAGATGATTTCTGCTCTTTCTTGCTTTCATCAAATATAAGTATTTTGCATTTTAACTAAAAAGTCATAACTTAAAATTTAATCTTTCAGCTTAAAAGAGTTATTGGCACAGAAAAATGATTAAGAAAGAATGCACAAGGGCGAGACAGCCAGCAGAGGAAGGGAGCAGGGTTGAAGAACACATTTAGACATGAAACATGTAGATGTATGTAGGAAAACCACTGATCTCAGAAAGAAAAAAGGAGTAAGTTGTACAGTATGTATTTTTTTAAAAAGTAATCAAATGGTGGATACAACTGAGAGTGACAAGTAGGATAATGGTAAAAATACCAAACACAGATTGGACTGTTCACCAAGGTCATTAATTTGATGATGCAAATATATTTAAATTTCTTCAAGAAGCGCTCTCTGAAATTATCATCTACGCCAAGTAAATTTTTGAGTTGGCTTGACAGAGAAGCCAGAATTAAAGTAACCAGATGTTGTTAAGTGCCGTATTAAGTATAGAATTTTTGTCTGTGGGTTCACATCATGCATGTTTGGGCTTTCTCCTACAGAGACATAGGGAAAACACAGGTGTCCCTTACAACAGTCAATAAGATCATCATGAAATGCCCCAGATTGGAAAAACTGTAAGTTGATTTTTCTTACATTTATTTTTACTTAATTATTTTAGATTTTCTTTATCATCTTCTTAAGTCATGTTTTTTGAAGTGTAATTTTTATTTAAATTCATACTTTTTGCCCTGGCTGGTGTGGTTCAGTGGTTAGATCGTTGGCCCAGGCACTGAAGGGTCTCAGGTGTGATTCCCTGTCAAGGGCACAGACCTGGGTTGCAGGTTTGATCCCTGGCCCTGGTCTGAGGCATGTGGGAGGCAACCATCCATGTGTCTCTCTTATATTAATGTTTCTTTCTCTCTCTCCTTCCCTCCCTCCATCCCTTGCACTTTCTCTAAACAAACAAACAAAAAAATCAATGAAAAAAATATCCTCAGGTGAGGATTAACAAACAAAGAAAAAATTAGTGAGTTATTTGTTTTTTGTTTTTCTTTATTAATTTTAGGGAGAGAAGAAGAGAGAAGGAGAGAGAGAGAAACATTGATGAGAGAGAACATCAATTGGCCACCTCTTGTACACCCCTCCACTGGGGATTGGACCAAAAACTCGGGCATGTGCCCCGACTAGAATCAAACCAGCGACCTCTAGGTGCATGGGGCAACACTCAACCACTGTGCCACACCACCTGGCAGTGAGTTTTGATAAATGTGTAGTGATGTACCACTATCACATTTGAGATACAGAACACTTTGTCATCCCAAGGGCCCCTCATGTTTCTTTGCAGTCACTTCCTCCTCCCAACACCAGCCCCTGGCAAGCACCACTCTGATTATTGTCACTGTAGTCTTGCCTTTTTCCAGGGTGTCTTGTAAAAGAAATTACGTACAGTGTAGGCTTTGTGTTTGGCTTTTCACCTAGCATAGTCCTTTTGAGATTCATCCATGTTGTTCTATCTATCAGTAGTTCATTTATTTTTATTGCTGCATAGTATTCAAATTCTGTGGATATACCAGTTTGGTTATGCAGTCATTAGTTAATGAATATTTGATCTTATATTTTCATTGCTTTAGGGTAAATTACCTAAGGGTAGGAATGCTGCATCTTATGCTGAGTGCATGTTTACCTTGTTCAGAAACTGCTAAACTGTTTTCTAAAGTGGTTGTACCATGTTGCCTTCCCACCAGCAGTAGATAAGAGTTGCAATTGCTCCATATTTTCACCTGATTTTTATATTTCTGGTTTTTTTGAATTAGACTTTCTTGTAGGAATGTATTTTTACCACACTGTGGTTTTAATTTGTGTTTCTCCAATAGCTGATTATGTGTAATATCTATGTGAAAATATCTTTTTCATTGAAGTGTTTGTACAAATTCATTTTAATTGGATAATTATCTTATTGTTGAGGTGGGGGTTTTTTTTTTTTGTTTGTTTGTTTTTTATCCTCACCCGAGGACATTTTTGCATTTCAGATAGAGCAGGAGGGAGAGAGGGAGGCAGAGAGAGAGAGAGAGAGAGAGAGAGAGAGAGAGAGAGAGAAACATTGATTATTCGAGAGAGACACGTTGACTGGCTGCCACCCACACAACCCCTACCAGGGCTGGGGACAAACTGCAACCAAGGTACATGCCCTTACCGGGAACCGAACCCGGGTCTCTCTGGACTACAAGCTGATGCTCTAACCGCTGAGCCAAACCGGCCAGGGCTATTGTTGAGTTTTAAGAGTACTTTATATAAGTCCTTTCTCTCAGGTATGTGTTTAGTAAATATCTTCTTCCAGGTTATGCCTTGTCTTCCTTCTATTAAAAGTATCTGTAAAGACCACAAGTTTTTAATTTTTTAATTTTGATGGACTCTCATTTTTTTCTTATATGGTTTGTGCTTGAGTGTGTGTGTGTGTGTGAATTCTCACTTGAGGATATTTTTCCATTGATTTTTTTTTAGATAGAGTGGAAGGGAGGGAAGGAGAGAGAGAAAAACTTCAGTGTGAGAGAGACACATCGATTGGTTGCCTCCCGCACGATCCTGACCTGGGGCCAGGAATCAAACCCGTGACCCTTCAGTCCGAAGGCCAACTCTCTAACCACTAAGCCAAACTGGCCAGAGCTACGCACAGCTTTTTACCCAGTTGTGCATCGGTGATCATCTATGTCTGAATCAATTATTACGTTGGTCGTTATAAAGTCACACTTTTTTCTAATTTATTATTCCTTCTACATTTCTTAGCTGGCATTCTATAAATAATAGCTCCTCTCTTTTTCTTTTGAGTATCATTATGAACTCACAGGCTCTTCTTTAAATTAATTATGTTATACCTCATTATCATTATTCTTTTAAATGTTCAAATTGCCCAGATTTGGCCAATGCAATCTGTTGTTATTTAACCACACAATGTTTTTTATGCCCAGAGTAATTTCTGATATATTTACCACTCACAGTTAGGAATTGAGAAAGGGACTCTGGAAGTTGGGGATTTATTCAGAGCCTTGTTAGAGGTCTTCCTCTTCCTGTGTGCTCTCCACCCAAAGTGAGATTTTGGGTTGGGAGAAGGAGATACTTCTGAGTTGGACTACAGATCAGTGTCACCCAATTCTAATCCCTGTCACCTTTATTCCAGGCATCCCATACCCACTGCCATTCTGACCCTTCTGTTGGGCACTTCTGTCCTCTATTTATTTACAATATTAAGAGCAGCAAGTGGCCAACTGATCCCTACCACATGTTCAGGCGATGTGTCCCAGCAGCTCTGTTTTGCCCATCCCTGTGGTAGCCACGGCCTACCTCTTCACCTACTCAAGTAACTCCTTGCCACTAATTGAATTATCTGTTTCTATTTATAGGATCTTACCTAAACATTTGGCCTGCTGCCTCTGCCAATTTAAAATCCATATTGAAGCTATCACCGAGACAGTCAAACTGAATTGTGAGAATCAATGTCTGGCAAATGCAGCTTGTGGTAAGCTGAAAATCTGATGCTAAACTTTTTCAATTTTGTTTTATTTTTACTCAATAATGATTTTTTTTTATCCTCACCGGAAGACATTTTTTTGGTTTTTGTTCAGATAGAATGGGAGGGAGAAAGAGGAAGAGAGAGAAACATCGACGTGAAAGTGACACATCAAGTGGTTGCCACCCACACAACCTAACCAGGGCCGGGGACAAACTGCAACCGAGGTACGTGCCCTTCGCGGGAACCGAACTCAGGTCTCTCTGGACCGCAGGCCTACTCTGACTGCTGAGCCACACCATCCAGGGCTTAAACAAATAATGTAGCTGCATTATTTTTAATCATTCATTCAGAGTTCCACTCCCTACATTTTTAAGAACTACTCCCTGGCTAAAAGCCAGATTAGGGAACGAGAGGAATGGAAGGGGAGGGAATTAACACTAGTGGCCACATAGTGTGCTCTCTGCTTGGTACTTTACTTCCAGATGAGAACTTGTTCATTAGTGTGTCACGGTTTGTAAACTGTTTTGTATGCATTAGGTTTCGATTGCCCTTTGCCCTGTAGGACAGGTAGGGATACATTTACACAATGAAATACTATGCAGCTGTAAGAAAGAAAGATCTCTTACCTGTTGAGATGACATGGAGGGACCTGGAGAGTGTTATGCTGAGCGAAATAAGCCAGCAATCAGAGAAAAATATGTATCACATGATCTCAGTTATTTGTAGAACATAATGAATAAAAATAAGCTGACGAACAATGTAGATCCAGAGACATGGAAGTAGGGAACAGACTGGCAAACCTAAGAGGGAAGGGGGTGAGGGCGGCTGGAAAAGATAAAAACCAAGGACCTGGTGAGCATGTATGCATAACCAATGTACACAGACAACAGTGTGGATGAAGGCGGGGTGGGGTGGAGGGTGTCAGTGGCGGGGGAAAGGAGGGGAATCTGTAAAACTTTGAAGAGTAAGATACATTTCAATTTTTTTTTTTTTAAGTACAACTGATGCTGTTTTATGAAAGGTTTATTTGAAGCCTGAGAGTTTCTGGATCCATCACCAGGAGCTGCTCCCAAGCCCTTCTGATGGATGGGAGGCCCGTGTGCTCTTAGACTGTCCAGCTTGAACTCGCTCTGGAGCTCAGGTTTTCTATCCACCACATACTCGGTGCTTCTAAGTATTTTTCTACATCTTCAGTTTATTGGCACCTACTTGATAACTCAGAATGTGCTTTCATGCCCAGATAGCTTGAATGCTGTCTCTCCGTGATCTGGGGCACATCATAAATAATAACGCTGTGCTTCTCATATAAACACAGTGTTGCATCTTTTTCAAAACCATGTTTTGACCAGTTATATTACTCCCTTCAAACCCAAAGGTGAGCAGAACAGGCATTTTAATCTCCTTTTACAGGTGAGTGAAAGCAAGATCAGAGAGTGTTAAGTGCTGCCGCCTAGTGCCCGGGGCTCCTGCTCTCAGTGCTGGGCTCTCCACAAGCCCATGCTCCTCCTCCTCAGGACCCTCACCTGCTCCTCTGACCCTCACCACCACCAGCAATACTTTCAGTTCTTCTGGAGAACAAACCCAGCTGCACAGTGGTACACTTCACCTTCACACAGTCAGAAGCTTTGGTTGGTTCCCCCAGTAAAGCTGAAAATATAAGAAATGACATGAAATGAAAGAAAAGGGGGCATCTGACAAAAGTTGCTTTTTCCCTTCTGTATTTTAGGACCCCAGGTATTATTCCATAGATGTAGCGAACATTCCACTGTGGCACACAGCCTGGCAAATCTCTTAACGTACATCCCGGATGCCTGCCTAAATGTTAAGCAAAGAGCAAGGGTGGACATATTGTTTTTTTCTGCTTAGAGCCTTCTGTTATGGGGGCTGGGTATGTGGAGGCAGGGACCGAGCTGAGGAATCGCTGGGTGAGTGGAGAAGAGTATGCTGGATGAGGACCTGTTAGCCGTGGGTGTTGATCGTGGTCATCTGTGATGGCAGCAAGAACACGAGCTCCCTGAAGAGTGGAGAGAGGAGGCCGTAGGCTCTCTCTGCGTCTGAGGCAGGACAGGGTGGGCACCTGAGTGTGAGGAGTCACAGGAGAGCTGCAGAGTCTAACTGAGTGGGGTCTTCCAGCCTTGGCTTGTCTTCAGTAACCGGCAACTCGCCCTCGGGAATAATCCTGAGGAATAATCCTAAATATAGTTACTATATTTCATGCTATAGAATGTTCTGAGTAAATAACCACCTTTTTTTTTTTTTTTTTTTTTTTTTACAAGATGCCTTTTCTCCTTTTGTTGTGTTGACAATCATAGGTTTAAATTGGGGTTTATTATTCTCGTCTCTAAATGGCGCTCAAATATTTGCTGATTCACAATTTATTTGAGTAAAATGTGTGGCTGTGAACTGACAATAGCTGTCCCATGAGTCTTTCCACATCAAAAGTGGTCTCATCTTTTTTGACAGATGAAAAACTACTAATAGAAGGACCGTTTATGAAGGTCATAAATGGCCGGAGGAACAACAATACCGAGTTGGTTATCCAGCCAGAGGTGGCACAAGCAATGGAAAATGTCGATCGTTCAGGAAACTTCATAAGTGAGCAGCTCGACTCTAATGATAAAGTGATGTGTTTGGTGCACTAAATTACATACCACCCTATTTCTTGGAGGGAAATCTAGAAGATATCGATTCAACATTATTACCCTTCATTATACTCCCTTTTCAAATGCACACGATGCAGATATGCCCCTGAGTCATTTGAAAAACAACAGAGGGAACCCTTGTCTCAAAACCTGAATTTTACAATTCAAGTTATAAAAATAAATTGAGGAAACTATTTTCTGGAACAGACCTCCTGATGAAGCTGCTCCGTGAGCAGCAAGAAGTAAAGGTTTCCAAGTCAGAGTGGGATACGCCACAGTGGGATACTGAACAAATGAATGAGAGGACAGAAGGCCAGGGTGAGCAGGAACTGCAGGAGCCCAGTGAGGTGAGGACAAGACCTACAACCCGGGACCTGGACTTGTAGGCAGACTAGGACATGCCATGAAAGACCAGGGCGCCTATCTGAACCTCGTCTCGGCCATGTGACTTTGGCTAAGACAGTGATCTCCCTCTTTGCCCATTTAGAGAATGGTGCCGCTGTCCCTAGGGTAGAGGAGAGGCCCTAACACACAAGATAAATAAATTGTACACGGCTTTGCTGATGCTCAGATTACATAGCCCAGTAGGTGGGGTGTGTTCTCGAAGAGCCTGTAGGCTATTCACCTGAAGGAGCGGGGTTGCGGCGGCAGTGAACAGTGCCGCGCTGTTCTTTAGAACAGGCTGGAGAATGGTTAGTTTTTATCCTTTCCATCTCTTTCATTTGTTTTTTTAATTGTTTTTTTGGGTTTGGTTTTGTTTTTTAGCTCACAAAAGAAGAGCCGGGACCTGACCATATCAACAAACTCCTCATAGCATCACCTGTGATTGCAGTAGCAGCGTTCTTTTTTGTAATCTTCTGTTTCTTTTTGGTAAGACAACAGTTAAATCAAATTTGCAAAATAGATTCTGTGTTCAGAATAGAGTCAGAGCCCACAAACAGAGAATCAAAGCCACTCTCCCCCTACTCCTACTCGATACGCCTCTTTAGTCACAGCACTGAGATCTGCTTTGCTCTTGTATTACACATTATACTCCAGGGATTTTAAAGGAGCCCACTCCCAGCGACCTCTGTGGAATTGAAATCAAGATAACGAGTCACTAGACTATTTTGGAAAAAGTATAATAGGCCAGAATTGACAAGAAAGTAACATTTCTTCAACTCAAAACGAATGATATCGATTTGATGTACTCGCCAATTACTCTCTTTCTACCGCTGATGTCTTTCCTTGTCGGCTGAAATGAGGAGAGATGTAGAATCTCCACCCTCGTGGAGCTATGTCACCCTGGCAGAAAGGACATGGCTGAAAGGTAGAAGTGTGATCTTGTCAATTCATCAGATTTACTTAGCTTTCTTCTCCAGTGTGTAAGGCATGGTGTAAATAGGGCCAGTGAATACACTGCAACCTAAACCCTGCGTCAGGCTCCTCTACAGCAGGTCATGTTATAGTCACCTGTCCCTGGTGCGCGCCTGTGTCCCTCTCGTTCAGTTACATCATGGTTTACCTGCAGGTGCTAACATTAAAAGAGTGATTTACTAAGCTGACCATCTTGACTGTACCCCACTAATCCAACCTGATTTACCTTTCCAGCAGCCGGGCCGCCCTCCGTCCACCAGAGCAGCCCCTCCCACAGGCTAGCTCAGCATGCCCACCCCCTGCTGTGTGTGCCTTTGCCCATCTAAAATTCCCTCGTTTTGCTCTGCCTGCGGAAGTCCAGGGAGCCTCTCAAAAGCCAGCTCAAGTTCATCTTCCTCATGAAGCCTTCCCTGAGTCCTCCAGCCCCCTGGTCCTAGTCCTTCTGTGAGATTTGTCACCATTTTCTGAGGCAATAGTGAGGCATTCCCTGCCCCTGGGAACTTAAAAATATGGTAAACAGTTTTTAAAAGGTGGCTCCCCAAGAAAGCAATACCAAGGTCAACACATCATGGACCAGAGCTGAGATGTGTAAGGACCAAATGGCTTCAGAACCCTGTGTTCCTAAGACTTACAAAATGTTACCTTTTAATATTCTAGTCTGTGGAAGAAAATAAATTGTAAAAGAAAAGCTACTTAACTATTTGAGGGGGAAATAACAGCAGATCTCTCTCATCTTAAACAAACATGTTTATATAAATGTAAAGAATAAAAAAGAACCTGTAAAAGTACTAGAAGAAAATAGAAGCAATACTTTTATAATCTGGTGGTGGGACAGAGCTTCCTGAGCCTTTGATAGATTTGGCCACCTTGTTGGGACACCATTAGCAAACTTAGCACTGGTTTATGCCAAGCATAGGTTGAAGAGTTTTCCATCTGTTGTTTGATTCAATCCCCACAGTCCTGTGAGGAGGATGGTACCACCCTCTTCCTTAGATGAAGGAGAGCAACTTAAGGTCCCAGTGGCAAAACCCCAGCAGAATCCCATTTTGCCCGACTGCAAAGCCTGTGCTTCTTACTCCACTGTTCTGTCTCCTCAAAGACAAAAGCACTGGGGATATTTGAAACATTGAAATACAGTGAAAGCCACTGTAAGGATTAAGATATTTGATATAGCCCTGGACGGTTTGGTTTAGCGGTTAGAGCAGCAGCCTGCGGTCCAGAGAGACCCGGGTTCGGTTCCCGCTAAGGGCACGTACCTCGGTTGCAGTTCGTCCCCGGCCCTGGTTGGTCGTGCGGGTGGCAGCCACTCGATGTGTCCCTTTCATGTCGATGTTTCCCTCTCTCCCTCCCACTCTGTCTGAACAAACAATGAAAAAATGTCCTCGGGTGAGGATAAAAAAAAAAAGATATTTGATATAAAAGGAGTTCCATAAATGAACAGGAAGAAGACAAATAGTCGAGGGGCGAACAGGGCAAGGGCTGTGAAGAGTCGGGAGGGTGTGGACAGTCTCCACCCTCTCTGCCAGGCTTCTCAGGGCTGTGGGTGGGGTTTGGTTAGCGAGGCCTTTGTCACCTCGTGGTATGAAAGTGGTCTCTGATATTTTCTTCTAGTCCTTTTTATAACATTTCTTATCATTCTAATTTTTAAAAAAATTGGTCTATCACTGGTTTTGTTTGTTTTTAATGTGGCTGACTGGTTCTCCCCTATATGAAGATCCATTTGTTTTAAAATTTCTTATTGCATGGCTCATTTTTTTCTTCACTGACCTCAAATGCTATCTTTGTCGGGACTCGATTCTGATCCAGTTATCTTTTTCTGTCCCAGTAGCAGTATCACTATGCAATTCCAGTTTCTTTGTAACATAGTTTGATATCTGGTAGGGTAAGCTCCTGCTGTTTTATCTTCTTTTTTATACATTTCATAGATATTTTGTGCATATTTTCTCTACCAAATGTTAGCTGGCCAGTTTTTGTTTAGAATTTATCTTGAATTTAAATAGGATTGCACTGCATTTGTAGGTTAATTTGAGAAAAATTGACATCTTTGCAACATTCTAGGAACATGGTATCTCATGCTACGTATTTTTCTAATGTCCTTCAGAAGAGTTTTAATGTTTTCATCATAAAGGTTTTACACATTTTTTGTTTATTCCTTGGTTGTTAAGCATTTTTATTGATATTGTAAATGGGCTCTTTCTTTCCTTTTTTAATTCGTCATTGTGGTGTGTAGGAAAGCTGTTGAGGTTTGCACGTTGCTCTCCAGGGTTTGGATTTAGCCATCTTACTGGATTTTCGCAGTACTGCCAATAAAATTGTAATCGATGCTCTTGGGCTTTTTAGGTTGTGCATCATCTCATGTGCAAATATGTTTGTCTCATTCTTTTTTTTCCCCTCACCCGAGGACATTTTTCCATTTTTTGTTCATATAGAATGGGAGGGAGAGAGAGGAAGAGAGAGAGAGAAACATCGACATGAAAGGGACACATCGAGTGGCTGCCACCCGCACAACCAACCAGGGCCGGGGACAAACTGCAACCGAGGTACCAAACCCGGGTCTCTCTGGACCACAGGCCGATGCTCTAACCGCTGAGCCAAACCGGCCAGGGCTGTTTGACTCTTTCTTTCCAGTACTTCATTTTTTTTACATTAAATTAACTAGGACCACCTCAACATTGATGAATAGTAACAGTAATAACAGGCATCCTACTCTTGTTCTTAACCTTAAAACAAAACTGCAGTGCAGGTGTCTGGTAGACACTTTCATTTTCTTTTCCTACTTCTAGGAGTTTTTATTAGGAATTATCTGTTGAATATTATCTAAAACAGCCAATAACATGCATTGCCAGCTGCATGCAGGATCCCAAGCTAGGGACTATGGAAGAGTCAAAGGACTATTCCGCAGAATTCCTGTCCTGAAAAAAGTTATCATCTCACTTACAAGGGGATGAATAAAGCCTTAGAGATAATGATCATTGTGATGAATAACCATGATGTTGTTTTCTTCCAAAACAGGTGTGTACAGGAACTAAACCAAGGTAAATATGAGTCTAGCAATTTTTTGTATAATCCCCACCCCAGGATATTTTTTCCATTGGATTTTTTTTTTTTTTTTTTTGAGAGAGAGAGAGTGGAAGTAGAAGAAGGGAGGGAGGGAGGGAGGGAGAGAGAGGAAACATTGATGTGAGAGAGACACATTGATGTTTGTCTCCTGCATGCGCCCCAATCCAGGCTGGGGTGTGGGCACCAAAGCTCTAACCTCTGGCCACAGCAGCCAACGCTGGGTCTGGCAATTTTTACAAAAGAATTTTAGAACTAAAGGAACTTCCTCTTCCTATAAGCAGCCTGAGGTGACCTCTGAAAATGGTTCACTATTCACTTGACCCAGAAAAACCACACCAAATCAGGAAAATCAAGGTTTAGATCTTTGTGTTCACTTTACAAACTTCCCAGGCCACCAAGGGTATGAATATCCTAAAAGCCACCAAGCATCTGAAGGATGTCACTTTACAGAAGCACTGTGTGCCATTCCGGTGTTGCAATGGTGGAGTTGGTAGGTGTGCCCAGGCCAAAGAGTGGGGCTGGACTCAGGTCAGTGGCCTAATAAAGTGCTGGATTTTTGCTGCACATGCTTAAAATGCAGAAAGGAACGCAGAGCATAAGTGTTTAGACATAGATTCTTTGGTCAGTGGGACCTTTCAGGTGAACAAAACTCCCAAGTTGCAGCGTAGAACTTCAGAGCTCATGGTGGATTAACCCACACACTTGAGCTCTCCCTGCCACACTGAGGTGATCCTACTGAAAAAGAGCAGATTGTTCCTAAACCAGAACAGGAGGTTGCACAGAAGAAAAGATACCTGAGAAGAAACTGAAGATAAGAAAACTGTGGCCCAGGAGTAAATTCATTATAAAATAAGTGCTAATGAGAATGTAAATAAAATAGAACTAGAAGAGAACATAGAACTCATCTATTTCAGTCTCCTCATTTTACAGTGAGGGAACCACCAAATAATGAAGGAATACTTCTTCATCCTGATGCTTTGCCTGGATTTTGCAAAATGAGCTCCCTGGGCAAAGCTGAGACAATGGGACTGGCACACATGCGTCTGCTGTCACTAGTCCTTTAAGGAAACGGTGCAGAGGGAGAGGTGTTGGTGGTACCTGTTCCTGCTGGTGGTGGAGGCTCTGGGGAAGGGCAGGGAAGGCCACATGGTCTCAGGGTAAGGGCGCTAGTCTCCTTCAAGGCTGATGGAAGGTAGAACATGTGAGTCCTTCCTGTAAAGTAGCAGGAAAAATTCCTCTCATCCTACTGGTTTTCAGGCCCCTACTCTCTCTCTCCCCTTTATCCAAACCTCATGGCATTTGATCTGGGAGAGATCTTAGACAGTAGTTTGTCTTTTCCTTTAATAAAAAGGGAGTGGAGACGGGGAAGGGAAGATATCTTGCCCCATGGTCACACTGCTGGTGAGTGTCAGAAAGATGGTCTTTTCCTGTGGGGACTTCTCTGTAGATGATACTGTGCCTGGGCTGAGAGCTACATGTTATGTCACCACTCAGCACACATACAGACAGACAGTACTCATTTCTGAAACAAAGTTATTATGCATTCTGACTTTTTCTATTCTGTTTGTATTCAAAAAAGAATATTTTGTATTTTGGTGCCGGTTATGACCTTTCAACTGATTTCACAAGTCCTCCCTCATCAGTGGCAGCCTGAGTATGCAGGTCAGCCAGCTAGATAACTTTGCTGTTGGACTCAGGCATTTAGTTGGTGTGATTTAACTTACTGGATAAAGCAGCTCGGAAAATAAAAACACCCCCTGCCCGCCCCAGCACATGATGCATGTGAGACCCAGTCCCAAGGGGCCCCGAGTGGACTGCGTCTGCAGAGAGCACACTGCTTCTGCCCAGGGTGCGTGTGCATTTTCTTTTCACTGCACGAGGGCACTTGTCCAAGGGCCAAGAAGGGGAACGGGGTGAAAATCCTGCCTATACCCCAGCCACCTACAAAGGTCTCCCCGGGACTCTGTGGGCCATCTTAAACAGACACAGAGAAGTTCTGGAAGCCCAGCATGCAAGGGATCATTTTCAAGGTCTCAGGTCTGTGGTGAGTTTGCTCCTGAGTGTGGACCCAAGTTTCAGTTCAGTCCTAATAAGACCAGAGCTACGCGTGTGAGAGGCACGGACAAAGGCACGAATCACTAATTGTCGGTATGCATTTTCCCCCCAGGGGGAGTGACGAAAGCTCACTGGATCAGAAGAAGGTAAATTTGAGGAGATAAAGGATTGTGGTGGGACAAAGCAGGGGAAACACGGAGCTCATATTTCCCTGTCTGTTTTCTAGGCAAGAAGTTTATGGAAGAGGCTGCTGTTTTCGCTGAAGAGTATGTTTGAACATCTTGCTGCCTACATAGGGAAGAGTGTGCAGGACTCTTCTGAAGAATCTTCTTACAAAAGGTATATAATTGGGAACAACTTAAAAATCTCTCAAATGAGGAAATAATGAATAGTTTAATTGTTCCTTTCAAGAGTAAAAGCCTTGGCCTTCTTCTCACCCCACAGTGAAGGCTCTGTATCGGTCACCGCCACAACCAGGACTTATGCAGAAGAAACACCTTTGGAAGGGGGACAGGAAAATGAGGCATGACACCGTCACCTAGTAAACACCACCCTAGCCTTAATACACTGTTTTAAATATATATATTTGAAGTGTATCATTCATACCAACCCTAGCCATGAGGTAAGGAATTAAAGTGTAAACAGTTAAGTGTTTATATGCAAATAACAAGGGCCATAGGCAAGAACAGCAGGGCTGAAGCTGGGGTCCCTGGAGAAGCCAGTACTTCCTGCAGCAGCAGTGTGGCCTGCATGGGTGCAGGGGGCTTCTCCCTCTTTCCCAGTACAGTCAGCCCCTGAGAACTGGAAAACACAGCCTCCTCAAGGGGTGTCGGTTATTAAGTCAGATAACAATTTATTCTGGAGCTCTGCCCCCCCTCACCAAGGACAGTTATTTACAACGTACTTGACCTCCTGTCCATAGAGGATCATCCAGTTCTGGCCCCTCTCATCAGGGCTTTGGGGTTGCCAGGATATTTGGATCCCTGGGCCTACCTTGAGGTGGGGACTGTCTTTCCCCCCAGCTCTTAAGCTCATGCACAAAGGTGTGCCCTGTCTTGGTGTAGCAGGTTCTCCACCATTACAAGCTAGTGGAATATTCACAGTAGATTTTTTGTTTTCTTTCTTAGTTTTAAAAACTCCCAACTGTTGGATACTGGCAGGGAGTTGCTGGAGAGACAGGGAAAAGAAGAATGTGTGAGAGCAGAAATTGCCCAAACTTCCCTCCTCAGGCCTCTGTTTCAGAAAACACTGGTGGGGCCACTTCTCCATGCACGTGTCCTGCCTCAGCCTCTGGGGACCCCACTAGGGTCAGGTGTGTGCCGCTCGGCTCCCTCCTGCTCAGCCCAGCACCAAACCTACCCACTTGCCTCCACGTCCAACACAGACCCGTGGCTGCGTGATTCCAAGTGATAACGCGCAGGTTCCTCCACTCCTGCCAAGAGTCATCACTAAGTGACATGGAGTAGCCAGTGAGACTTAAATGCCTGAGTGAGTAAAGAACTTCTGGATGAACAAGATTTAATAATCGGCCTCAATGACCACAAATAAAAGCTGGCGGCTTAGCAATCTGAGAAGAATGGTGCCCACCATGCACAGGACACCAGCACAGAGCCCCAGTGGAGCCGCGGGCCTGGGCAGCAGCCCAGCATGCTTTGTGGCAGGAGAAAGCAGGGGGACGCAGAGTTCGTATTTGCCTGTGGTTTCCTAGGAGGGCTTCTCTGGGGGAGGCGGCCGCTTGGGCCGAGGGATGTGTACAGACCTGTCAACGCCGCATGCAAACAAGGCACAGAAGCTACATGCCAAGGATTTGTCTGATGGGGATGAGATTTGCAATAAGGACGAAGGGCAGACGGCTGGGGACAATTGAGGATTCTTATCTAAAATGGTTAGGTAGGGTTCCGGGCAGAGTGAACGGGCATCCAGTCCTGTCTGGTTTATTAGTTTGCTGATGCTGTTCTCTTGGTTTCTGCACAAGTTACTTCCTGAGTTTCTTACTGAGAATGAAAAACGTGTTTTTTTCTGCATTGACCAGTGAGCCAGCAGATATTTACTGTGTTTAAAGCACAGCCTGGCAATGGGGATCAGTGACGTGCTGGGAATCCGGGAGGTGAGGAGAAACAAATGGGATCGTCCTGGAGACTCACTTCCTGTCCCCTTTCAGTAGCTCAGCAGACAGCTCGCTCAGCAGGGTCCAGCCAGCATTGGAAAAAATAGTCCCCTTTCTAGTGGGATCATTCCTTTCCTCAAGCAGCTCCGTGTTGGAGGTACAGGTGGTCCCTGCCTCACCATCCCTATGAGCGAGATGCATTCCAGGCAGGCTCCCTCTACAGGAGCTCTAGCCACGGGCTCAGTCCAACTAGGTCTGGCCTAATCCCCTCTGAAAGCTTCAGGACTGAGTAAACTCTGATACTGTTCTGCTCGTAAGTTTCCCCCCAAACAACAAAACCCTCCTTTATATTTTCACAATTGTCCTCTTCACGTGACAGCAGGGGGATGTGGGTCAAGGAAATTTGTGCCCATGAAAATCTATAGGTTGTTGACATGGCAAATATTATGGGAGAAAGGAAGACTTGGAGCCTGGGACCCATGTCCCCAACCACTACAAGGGCATCATTCATTAATATGCCAACTCAGAGGGTCAGGTCTGTCTAGCTGAAACCCTTTATCACACAGTGTATTAATTATCTGATGTTGTGTAACAGATCTCATGAAATTAGTGGCTTAAAGCAATAAACATCCCCACAATTTCTGTGAGTGAAGAATTTAGGTGTGGCTCGGGCAGTTCTGGCTCTGGGTCTCTCATGAGGTTCTCAAGATATTGGCCAAGGCTGCAGTCATTGAAGGCTTGACTGAGGCTGGGGGGTTGGCCCACCTGTATAGTTAAATTATTTATCTCACTTTGATACAGTATTCTATTATGTGAATATTCAAGAATGCACTTATCCAATCTCCAACTGACAGAAAGTATGGTTTTTATTTCTGGCTAGCATGAAGAAAACTGCTATGAACATTCTTAGGCATGACCCTTGGTGAACGCATGTACTCATTTCTTGGGATGAAACCCAGGAGTTGAATCCCTGGGTCAGAAGGTAAGATGAGTATGCTCAGCTTCAGTAGATATGGCCAGTTCCCTAAAGTAGTTTTATCAATTACATCCTCACTACCAGTGAATCACAACTTCAGTTACTCCACATCCTTGCAAACATCCTTGAAAGTCTTTCATTTTAGACCAGGGAGGTGTACAAGGATATCAAATTGTGGTTTCAATTTACATTTCTATAAGAAGGATATATAAAGAACTTCCCAGAGAAGAAAAATTAGCAAGGAAACAGAGATTCTAAATGAAACCCTAGACCAAATGGATTTAATAGATATCAACAGAGAATTACACCCCAAAACCACAGAATTCACATTCTTCTCAAGTGCACATGGGACATTCTCAAAGATATACCACATGATAGGACACAAACTAAATCTCTACCAGTTCAAGAAGATTGAAATTATATCAAACATCTTCTCAGATCACAATGGCATGAAAATAGAAATCAATTGCAACAAGAACATGCAAAGACATTTGAACACATGGGGGCTAAATAGCATGTTATTAAACAATGAATGGGTTACCGAGGAAATCAAGGAAGAAATTAAAAACTTCCTGGAAACCAATGAAAATGAACACACAACAACACAAAATCTATGGGATGCAGCAAAAGCAGTTCTGAGAGGGAAGTTCATAGCACTACAGGCTACTACCTCGAGAAACAAGAAAAATTTCTAATTGACTGTCTAATCTCACAACTTAAAGAATTAAAGAATTAGAAAGCAAACAAAAAGAAAACCCCAGAGCAAGTAGAAGGAAGGAAATATTAAAGATCAGATCAGAAATAAATGACATAGAGACCATTAAAAAAAAAAAAAAACAATTCAAAGAATCAATGAAACAAAGAGCTGGTTTTTTGAAAAGATAAACAAGATTGATGGACCCTTAGCTAGACTCACCAAGAAACAAAGAGAAAGAACCCAAATACACAAAATCAGAAATGAAAGAAGAGAAGTAACAACCGACAGCACAGAAATACAAAAGATCGTTAACAGCTACTATGAACAACTATATGGCAACAAATTCGACAATCTAAGCAAAATGGACAAATTTCTAGAAACACACAGTCTCCCAAAACTGGACCAGGAAGAGATAGAAAACTTGAACAGACCAATAACAACTAAGAAAATTGAAGAGGTAATCAAGACTCTCCCAGCAAACAAAAGCCCAGGCCCAGATGGCTTCACGGGGGAGTTTTACTGAACATTCCAAAAAGAACTAACACCCATTCTCCTCAAACTATTTCAAAAAATTCAAGAAGGAAGACTTCCAAACTCATTCTATGAGGCCAGTATAATTCTAATTCCAAAACCAGAAAAAGACACTACAAAGAAAGAAAACTACAGGCCAATATCCCTGATGAACATAGACACCAAACTCCCGAACAAAATACTAGCAAATCGGATCCAGCAGTAATTCAAAAAAATTATTCATCATGACCCAGTGGGATTCATCCCAGGGATGCAAGGCTGGTACAATATTCACAATCAATAAATGTGATACACTACATAAACAAAATGAAGAATAAAAACCACATGATCATATCAATAGATGCTGAAAAAGCATTCGACAAAATCCAGCACACATTTCTGATAAAAACGCTCAGCAATGTGGGAATAGAGGGATCATATCTCAACATAATAAAGGCCATATATGAAAGACCTACAGCCAACATCATACTCAATGGGCAGAAACTAAAAGCATTTCACTTAAGAACAGAAACAAGACAGGGATGTCCACTTTCGCCACTCTTATTTAACATAGTACTGGAAGTCTTAGCCACAGAAATCAGATATGAGGAAAAAATAAAAGGGATCCAAATTGGAAAGGAGGAAGTAAAACTGTCATTATTTGCAGATGACATGATACTATACATAGAAAACCCTAGAGACTCCATCAAAATTCTATTAGACTTAATAAATGAATTTGGCAAAGTAGCAGGATACAAAATTAATGTCAAGAAATCGACGGCTTTCTTATACACCAATGATGAACCCACAGAAAGAGAAACTGAAAAAACAATCCCATTTACCATTGCGGCAAATAAATGAAGATACCTAGGAATAAACTTAACCAAAGAAATAAAGGTCCTATTTGCAGAAAACTACAGGATATTGAAAAAAGAAATAGAGGAAGATATAAAAAAGTGGAAGCACATACCTTGTTCATGGATTGGAAGAATCAACATCATTAAAATGTCCATAGTACCCAAAGCAATCTATAGATTCAATGCAATCCCCATCAAAATACCAACAACATACTTCCCAGAACTAGAACAAATACTTCAAAAGTTCATATGGAACCAAAAAAGACCCTGAATAGCCACAGCAATTTTGAAAAAGGACAAAGTATGTGGGATCACAATACCAGATATCAGGTTATACTACAAAGCGACTGTAATCAAAACAGCCTGGTACTGGCACAAGAAC